TGAGCAGGACCAGCGGTGTCATTTGACTTAATAAATAAGGATCGGATGTCGTCAACCTTCTTTTCAAAATGGTTGACGAAGTCATCCACAGAGAGGGAGGAGGGAGGGGGAGGAGGAGGAGGATTCAGCAGGGAGGAGAAGGTGGCAAAGAGCTTCCTAGGGTTAGAGGCAGAGGCTTGAAATTTAGAATGGTAGAAAGTGGCTTTAGCAGCGGAAACAGAGGAAGAGAATGTAGAGAGGAGGGAGTGAAAAGATGACAGGTCCGCAGGGAGTCTAGTTTTCCTCCATTTCCGCTCGGCTGCCCGGAGCCCTCTTCTGTGAGCTCGCAATGAGTCGTCAAGCCACGGAGCAGGAGGGGAGGACCGAGCCGGCCAGGAGGATAGGGGACATAGAGAGTCAAAAGATGCAGAAAGGGAGGAGAGGAGGGTTGAGGAGGCAGAATCAGGAGATCGGAGGGAGAAGGATTTAGCAGAGGGAAGAGATTATAGGATGGAGAGCGAAGGTTGCGACGGCACATTACCATCTGAGTAGGGGCAGAGTGAGTAGTGTTGGAGGAGAGCGAGAGAGAAAAGGATACAAAGTAGTGGTCGGAGACTTGGAGGGGAGTTGCAGTGAGATTAGTAGAAGAACAGCATCTAGTAAAGATGAGGTCAAGCGTATTGCCTGCCTTGTGAGTAGGGGGGGACGGTGAGAGGGTGAGGTCAAAAGAGGAAAGGAGGCAGAGAGAAATGAGTCAAAAGCAGACGTAGGGAGGTTAAAGTCACCCAGAACTGTGAGGGGTGAGCCATCCTCAGGAAAGGAACTTATCAAGGCGTCAAGCTCATTGATGAACTCTCCAAGGGAACCTGGAGGGCAATAAATGACAAGGATGTTAAGCTTGAATGGGCTAGTGACTGTGACAGCATGGAATTCAAATGAGGAGATAGACAGATGGGTCATGGGAAAAAGAGAGAATGTCCACTTTGGAGAGATGAGGATTCCTGTGCCACCGCCACGCTGACCAGATGCTCTCGGGGTATGCGAGAACACATGGTTAGACGAGGAAAGAGCAGTAGGAGTAGCATTGTTTTCTGTGGTAATCCATGTTTCCGTCAGCGCCGAGAAGTTGAGGGACTGGAGGGTAGCATAGGCTGAGATGAACTCTGCCTTGTTGGCCGCAGAACGGCAGTTCCAGAGGCTGCCAGAGACCTGGAACTCCATGTGGATCGTGCGCGCAGGGACCACCAGATTAGAGTGGCAACAGCCACGTGGTGTGAAGAGTTTGTATGGCCTGTGCAGAGAGGAGAGAACAGGGATAGACAGACACATAGTTGACAGGCTACAGCGAAATGCTACAATAATGCAAAGGAGATCGGAATGAAATGAACTAAACATCTGGGAAAGCGAGAGAGCGGGGCCTCCCTCACTTATGTTTCACTGAAACACTCAAATATAACTCTCCCAACTTCCACTTTAGAAATTATAATTGTTGTAAACTACAGCGGTTCAATGTTTCTAGGAATAGACTCTAACTTAGTATATTCAGCTAACTTGGTACACCGAATGATATGACGCCAAAGCCAACTAGCATGCCAGCCTCCAATAACACGGTTTAGTTTTGACAGTTTGAGTGAGTACGTCGTCAACTTATTCAGCCAGTTAGTTAGCTAGAATAGTTAGCATACTAGCTAGCCATTGCTCTCTGCCAACAAACTAACCCCTCCTCCCACGGCACGAACACACAGAGAGCCAAGCTAACGTTAGCTAGTCACCCATGTCCCGAATTCCCTTGAACGACTCTGGTTACCAGTATGTAAAAACCAAACAAAAATAAATGTAGGTTATAGCTTACCCTTAGTAGCTACTGTTAGCCAGTTAAGTGCAAAGCTAGCCACTGTATCGATTCAGCCTGTTCGCGTCTGTCCCAACGGAGAGAAACCTAGTCCGCTCGGGGATTACTGGCACAACGGTCTTAACCACTAAGCTACCTGCCGCCCATTACACATGCTGTTATATTTGAAGACCTTATCTTAAGCGTGGAATAACATTGGAAACAACTATCCAGAGTTGCTAATAGTTACCAGTAGCTACCCGCTAGCTAGCTAGCTTTATTGGTCCAGGTAGTGAGTTAGCTAGCCTCGTGCTTCACCGGGCTCAGTCGAATACAATACTTACCTACAATAATTACCTACAATAATTACCTAGATAAACTACCTACAATACCTAACTACAATACCTACCTACCTACAATCTAAATACATGGTTTAATCTTTACTCGACACCATATGAGCCAAGCTTACCTCCCGCCACCTGACATACCCAGTCGCTGCCCACTTTTTGGGCAGCGACTGGCCAACTTTTTGGGCAGCGACTGTATTGAATTACCCCATTCAATACACATTTCCCATATAATGCTACTCAAAAGGGTACTATAAGTAGCAATACTGAAACAGTTTAAACTTAAATGAACAATATGCAAAATGCTGAAGCTAAGTAGCCATAGGCAAGCAATAGGGCAGTACAGCATCAAAAGTAAAGTTGAAGAACATAATCTACAAGTCAGAAACTATAGAACAAATCAAAGTACATAGTAAAACACAACATCAGTTAATAACTCACTTTTGGTCAATGATGCATTCTACTGGTTCTTCATCTGACGGCTGCTGTTCAAGTCATTGTTTGGTGTGGTGTTCATCTTCGATGAGGTTTAACGGCGGTTGGCATCCAATAAATGTTGCATTACCTCCACCAACTAGACTGGGGTATAAATTCCTTATACTTTGCGTGATAAAAATAATAAAAATAAAATACCCTGCCATCTAACCCTACACTCATTAAAAACCTATCACCCTATTCCACTATTTAAACATCTCTGGTCCTACCTCAGGCCAACAGCCTGGGAGGACGGGACACCACCACTCAACACACCCTGTAACTCTTCTGACGTCAGATCTCGTACACCCAAATACTTCTCTGCAGCTACCACCACAACCTCTATTTTCTGCGAATTACGTTCCATCCCTGCGGTACAATTGATTACCATGGCTATGAATGCTAAAAAGCCAATCTTACTGAAGCATATACTGTATCACTGGTTGGCCTATCCCTCTGTACTGGCACAGATCTACTACTCACACGAATCCTCTCAGGATCCCTCCCCCTTGACCCATCTTCCTCTACTTTCTTCACTGCCACAGCATACGACACCCTCTGCACTACTCTAACCCTGGAAACCTCAACCTGCCTCTCTCACACTGGACATTTCTGATCCCCAACCCCATGGGCAGCACTTCAATTAACACATACTGCTTCTTTCCCCAATACTACACATTCCTTTGTCTCATGCCCTTCTGCACACTTCTCACACCTAGGAAGCTCCCTCCTACACACTGCTGCCACATGCCCATAGGCTTGACACCTGTAACAACGTAATGGATTCGGCACAAAAGCTTGTACTGGATAACTGAAATATCCTAACATCACTTTGTTGGGCAAAGACTCAACATCAAAACTCAAAAGAACAGACAATGACTCTTCTGTTTCACCACTCACGCCATCCTGTCTGCGTCACACCAAACGACGAGCATCACAAACACCGGGAATCTTCCCCTTCAGTTGGTCCACATTCACCGCTACCTCAGTAATCAGTCCTTTCAATAGCCGTCAGGTGACATGCCAGGTGACTTGGCGGCCATTTTGGAGAGGCACTTTGCCACTTTGATAGTGAGTTGGGCATTAAACATGGAATAATCTGCAACAGTTGACTTCATTCAGCCATATTCCATCATTCCCCTCCCTTACACCATTGCATCATGATCTGTTAGGGTGAGGAGGACTGTAGCTGGAGGCTAGAGCTCCTGTTTTACCACATTTGTTTCAGAGTTTTAAATCCTGTACACACACACACACACCACAGCCCCCCGTGGACCTGAGAGCACCATTTAAATTCATACAAGGTCTGATCCTCTGATTTCTCTTTTGATTTGTTCACACACATCAACACACAGCCCTAAGGGTGTATTTGGGCAGTGGCATGCAGGATGGACAATGGGGGAGGTGAGGGGGGTGTGGATAATAACCAGGCTCCCCTGCTGGTTTTGAGAGAGCAGGATTCTGTTTATCCAACTGGAATGTTCATTTAGATGCGCTTGCTGACCCGCACAGCTCACCACCTCCCTACATTGTACGGGCCCCTGTGTGTGTGTGTGTGGTGTGTGTGTGTGTGTGTTGTGCGTGTGGGTTGGAATTCCAACACGGTAATAATAAGAGATGAAATTGGCTGTAGACATCTTGGCGAACCCCCTCTTTATATAATGACAGATGATGACAATTCAAAAGCAATTCAGAGGGGATGTCATTTCAGGCAGGAGGTCAAAGGCAATCATGCACACTGCACTCCCTGTGGGGGAGCACAACTGTGCAATGAATACACATACCTGCGCACACACACACACATTTACATTTATATCATTTAGCAGACGCTCTTATCACACACACATAATTAAATTAAATAACTGAGATGTGCATCTGTCATATCCTCTCTTCTACACACATCTCATTGTGGTTTGTTGTTACATCCTTTTGTCTTGCCAGCTGTCACTGATCTCCCTGCAGCATGCACCAGTAACAGAGATCCTATCTGCCCGGCCTGGCCCTGTATCACTGTGGCCAGCATGGAGGCCTGGCCCTGTATCAATGTGGCCAGCATGGAGGCCTGGCCCTGTATCAATGTGGCCAGCATGGAGGCCTGGCCCTGTATCAATGTGGCCAGCATGGAGGCCTGGCCCTGTATCACTGTGGCCAGCATGGAGGCTGGCCCTGATCACTGTGGCCAGCATGGAGGCCTGGCCTGTATCAATGTGGCCAGCATGGAGCCTGGCCTGTATCACTGGGGCCCAGGCCTGGCCCTATCAGTGGCCACATGAGGCCTGGCCCTGTATCACTGTGGCCAGCATGGAGGCCTGTGCTGGTTAAGCAGGTGATGGCGGGTAGGCATGGGACGGCTGGGCTGAGGCAAGGGGATGGCTGGGTTAGCCAGGGGACTGCTGGGTGTAGGCATGGGATGGCTGGGGTCAGGCATGGGATGGCTGGCGGTGAGGCAGGGGACTGGCTGGTAGCAGGAGGCTGGCGGGTGTAAGGCACTGGGCTGCTGGAGGCTTGGCCTGGGACTGGCTGGGGTTAGCAGGGGCTGGCTGGGGTTAAGGCAGGGGGACTGGCTGGGGTTAAGGCACTGGGACTGGCTGGGGTTGAGGCAGGGGGACTGGCTGGGGTTAAGCCAGGGGGACTGGCTGGGGTTAAGGCACTGGGACTGGCTGGGGTTAAGGCAGGGGGACTGGCTGGGGTTAAGCCAGGGGGACTGGCTGGGGTTAAGGCACTGGGACGGCTGGGGTTAAGGCAGGGGACTGGCTGGGGTTAAGCCAGGGGGACTGGCTGGGGTTAAGGCACTGGGACTGGCTGGGGTTAAGGCAGGGGACTGGCTGGGGTTAAGGCAGGGGGACTGGCTGGGGTTAAGGCACTGGGACTGGCTGGGGTTAAGGCACTGGGACTGGCTGGGGTTAAGGCAGGGGGACTGGCTGGGGTTAAGGCAGGGGGACTGGCTGGGGTTAAGGCAGGGGGACTGGGTTTCCAGGCCGCTGGTAGGAGACATTAGGAGCCTCAGATCTGTTCTCATTACCAGCACCTCCAAGACTATTCAACATGCATGTGTGTGTACTTTCACACACATGCCTATTTACACACATGCCTATTACACACATGCCTATTTTTCATTGTTTTTCAGGGAAACTGTATTTATCCAACTTGCCTTTTAGTCAAATACGTGTTCCTGACATGTGTAATAATATTTTTTAGGCGTGTGATAATGAAATTGTCAACTAAGTGAAAGGAATGTTTTCCATAGGCACAAGTGGAATACATAAATGGTAACTGAGGTTGTTTGAGGTGGTTAGCTGAAGGTTATTAATCACCAATTGGACCTTTTGTTTTCCTCAGAAGGCTGAAAGAAGATTTTCAGAGCAGAATGTGTTTATCTTTCTGAAAATGTAATGATTATCCTTGTCTCCTATTGACAGCGTTTTTTTCTTGTCACCTTCAGGGGGAATGCGGGAACTTCATCCGTCTGATTGAGCCGTGGAACCGAACCCACCTGTACGTGTGTGGAACAGGGGCATACAACCCCATCTGCACCTACGTGGACCGCGGACGCAGGTCCCAGGTAACCAGAGACAAGATGTAGCCAACCATGGTCACACTCTGACCCCTGAACTCCCCTCTTTCAGAGTCAGATCTGTCAATCAACCCGGGGTCAAAAAATCTCATTCCACTCCTTGTCTGTCCTTATCATGGTCTGTTCTCTCATTGTCTTCTCCCCTTCTCCCCACATTGATTTGCTCTATCCATGGTCTGGTGAACCCAGAAAAAGGCTAATATTGGTGCTTTTCCATTGAGACTTACCCCCACATTAGTGGGCGCTAGTGTTTTATGTTAATGTAGCTCTAGTTTTAATGTGTTTCCATCAGGAGTGTGACACTAAAGACTTGGGGCGAGCAGAATCAACAACCTCTTCATCATTCAAGACTGTTGCTTTGTGAGTAGGTGTTAAAGTTCACAGTTAGCCATTGTTATGTAAATGCAAGCTGAAAAGTACCCAGGGCCTTGCCTTGGCGCCAAGTGAGAGCAGGTCCTCCGTAGCCATGGCCCAGTGAGACACGGGTGCCAGCCCGCGTAGACGGAAACAGAAAAGTCTGAGCCTTTTGAGGTAAAACACTGGGGTAAATCCTCATTGGAAATGCGCCAATAGATAATGAGCTCTTCACAGATGGTTAACTCTCCTTTATTCTGGCAGTTCATGTCACACTGTTATAGTGACTCCTATTGGAGAGACAGCTAACTGCCACCATAGGAAGCTAACTGCCAGCTACAGTACTGCTGGGAAGAGAATGTTGACAGTGTGTCTAAAACAACTGCTACTATCTTCTCCTACTAGCGGCTGTCTCCTCTCCCCCCTCACCTGTTTATGTGTAGTGTTCTGACCTGTCTGGGAGGCTCTGAAAGACCATCATTACCGATGGAGCCTCTCATCCATTATCAGACTTGTAACTCACCCCCTCCCTCCATTCCTTCCCTCCGTTCCTACCTCTCTCCCTCATAGACCAGCAGCCATCAGAGCTGTAGCAGCTGCCGTCCCCTGTGCACACTTACTGTTACTATCCCGCCTGTTTATTCTCAACGTTTCATTGGAGGGCTTGGGTTTCAATGTACCGGCCAGTCATCCCCTTGTCATTCATCCTCTCCCCCAAGGCCCTGCTAGCTACGTCGCTTTAACTGTAAAGGTTTTCCTTGGGTAAAATTAGAGGTGTAAACAGAAACCATTTGTTTGGAAGTTCTCCCAGTTGTCATTCCCAAAAGCCTCACGCGTGTTGAGTCCTCAGACAGCTCCCAAGGTTTTCCAGAGATTACCTCACGTCTTCACTGAGTTCACTCACTCCACTGTTCTTTTTACTTTGAGCTCCCTTTCTCCTTTTCACCCAAATGGGTCCTCTTTTGTCTCATATGTATTTTTTATGTTGCTGAACCTTGTGTCTATGTTTTCACTGGCATGGCATGGCATGTTTTCTGTATGTATTTGGCAACCTAGATATCGGCGGATTCGGAAACTCATCCAGATTGATTTATTCACGTAATATAATCACTGAACTCTCTCTAGCATGCTTTGCTTGACAGAGTTATTTTTTGGGTTCTCTTCTCATCGATTCTCATGGGTTGGCTGGTAGTCTAGCGGTTAAGAGAGTTGGGTCAGTAACCGAAAGGTCGCTGGTTCGACTCACCGGGCTGACTAGGTGAAAAAACTGTCTGTGCCCTTGAGCAAGGCACTTAACTCTAATTGCTCCTGTAAGTTGCTCTGGATAAGAGCGTCTGCTAAATGACTGAAATGTAAATTCTAAAAAATGTCATGGAGTCCACTCTCATTTCTTCTGTTGTGGTCATGGTTGTTTTTCGGTCGTGGGTCTTTCTTTGAGCTTTTTCTGTTCTCCTTCTGGTCAACTCTTGGGTTGATTTTTCCACTGAGTTTCAGTTGGTTTTGGGTTGTCCCTTCGGGTGCAGTCAATGGGACCCTCGTGGTAATCGCGTGGCACATGTCCTCTTTTTTAGGCCCTCTACCTGCAGGCGCCCCAGTCCGGAGGGAGGACCAGCCGGGCGGCAGACTTCAGCACTACAGCAGGGCCTGTGGAGCCAAAGGTGGGCCTACGGCCGAGGGGTGGCTACTGTAGCAAGGGGCTGGGGTCTGGGACCTGGGCAGAGGGGAGGCTACTGTAGCAAGGGGCTGGGGTCTGGGACCTGGGCAGAGGGGAGGCTACTGTAGCAAGGGGCTGGGACCTGGGCGAGGGGAGGCTACTGTAGCAAGGGGCTGGGGTCTAGGATCTGGGGAGGCTACTGTAGCAACGGGCTGGGGTCTGGGACCTGGGTAGAGGGGAGGCTACTGTAGCAAGGGGCTGGGCCGAGGGGAGGCTACTGTAGCAAGGGGCTGGGGTCTAGGATCTGGGGAGGCTACTGTAGCAACGGGCTGGGGGCTGGGACCAAGGGGAGGTTAGTGTGGCATAGGGCTGGGGTCTGGGACCTATGGGAGGTTAGTGTGGCATAGGGCTGGGGTCTGGGACCTAGGGGAGATTACTGTAGCAACAGGCTGGGGTCTGGGACCTAGGGAGGCTACTGTAGCAATGGGCTGGGGTCTGGAACCTGGGGGAGACTACTGTAGCAACGGGCTGGGGTCTGAGACCTGGGTCCTGGGTCAGGTGCCCATCTGGTGTCTGAGAGGCCCTGTCATCATGTACAGCCTGTTGACATCCAAATTGATGCTTCTGATTATGGTGTAGAAGAAATGGGGTGTTAAAGATAGAGATTATGATGATATGGTCACAGTTCAATAGTAGAAAGGTCATAAATTAAGTTGGTCAGTATAACCAAGTCCTGTTCTTTACAATCATTAACATCCATGGATAGAGTTTTGTGACCACAAAGGCCTACTTTAAAAAAGGGATTTGACTGTACTTGGCCTACAATTCATCTTGGCTACTAGAATGTTGAGAAGTAGGCTGCATATTAATATTAGCCAAATAATTCAAAGTCATGCAAGAAAGACGTGGTGGAGGACAATGGCAAGATCCATTCTAATGAGTACCACAACAAGTCATAAAAATTACATTTTCATTTCTGATTCCCCTATAAAATATACTGTCAAAATGTTGCAATAAATGCATTTCTTATAAATGTAGAGATCCTGATTCACCCCAGTATCTTGGAAAACAAAGAATGCTTTGTAAATGTACTGCCTTCATGTGTCTTGGGAGCCATTCTGGGAGGGTGCCTACAACAAGTGGACTCACAGACACCAGGGTATAAGAACACTGTCCAACTCTAACAGCCTAGCTTCACATTACAACAGTCTGCCTATCTTTCATTGTTCTTCAGGGAACTTGCCTTTTAGTCAAATACGTGTTCCTGACATGTGTAATAAGACTTTTTTGCCGTGTGATAATTGTAATTGTCAATTAAGTGAAAGGAATGTTTTCCATAGGCAAAAATTGAATACATTATGTTTTGTCTTAGAAAGGCAATCTGTTTAGATTTTCCATTACCGTGCCGGAATCACATCATGTATTTCTGATCACATATTCTAAAATGAAAGAAACATTATTATTATTAACAAACCTCAGTGGTCAAGTAAGCAACTTGACACAAAGCCAATGTTGACACAGATGTAAAAAAATGTCCTCCTGGCTCGTGGACTTCAGAGCTACCCTCCACATCCCTAACACTAGGAGCATGGTGGATTAGTTTTGGATCGCTCTCTTCATTTTTGCTCAAGCACTCGCCGATAACTGACCTTGTGCTCATCATACTCCCTTGCTTAAAGCTAATACAGGTGTGTGAGTGTGTGTTTTACATAGACGTCTGGTTCAGCACACTAACACAGCATTTGAGAGACCTGTGCTCAGAAACAAGGACACTTATTTGTGTACCAAGTACCAACCTCTGCCCATCAAGTACCAACCTCTGCCCAAATGCAGGTTGGCATTTATTGGGATGACCCATGTACTGGAGACAGCTCTGCAGAGTGGTCACTAGCTGGCATAGCCACAAAGTCATAAAATCTGATTTTAAACCTAACCTTAACCATAACCTTAACCACACTGCTAACATTATGCCTAACCCTAATCTTAAATTATGACCAAAAAGCAAATGTTTGTTTTCATGAATCTTTACGATATATAGCAAATGCGGACTTTGCAACCCGCCCATCTAGTAAAATTACTCAGCTCTGCTTCCAGGGCAAGACTCATCCCAATAAACATCAACCTGCATTCCCTATATATCCTCCTTCTGTCTGTATTTCCCTGCAAAGGGTTACATTATGTAAAAACTCAATCAGTTGTAATACACAAATAAGCCCTGAATCAACTCTGTGTTCTCAATGGAAACAACAGAGTAATTGATGTTGTTTACATATTTAATTGTTTCTGCACTGTCCTCACTTTATCCCTACCTATATGTATGTATCTATCTCAATTATCTCATACTCCTGCACATCGACTTGGTACTGGTACCCCGTGAATATAGCCAAGTTATCATTTATTCCATGTGTAATTATCTTTCTATAATTTTTCTATTTTTCTCTCTACATTGTTGGGAAGATCCTGTAAGTAAGCAATTCACTATTAGTCTACACCTGTTGTTTTACGAAGCATGTGACAAATAACATTTTATTTGCTATCTATTACAGGAATATATCTTCCGTTTAGAGCCAGGCAAAGTGGATTCGGGGAAAGGCAAATGTCCTTACGACCCTAAACTCAACAGCGTCTCAGCTTTGATCAGTAAGTGCCTGTTCACCTCTTCTCTCTCAGGTCACTTGTTCCATTATTGGAAGAATTTAGTGTCTCTTTATTCCTCTTCCCCCCAAGGAGTCTTTGGGGTCAGTCCAACCGCTGTTGAAGTTATTACCTACTACAGTATCTATGAATGCACGATTGGCTAGTCACACTAGATCTTGTTCATTCAAATACCTTTGCCTCTTTTAAAATAGTTTTCTCTTCATTTGTAGTTACCCAGTGGTGACGGTAACAATTACATTGTTATACTAATCTCATAATCATAAAACTATACTACAAAGTGAATTGCTGTATCGAGGTTTATTCATCTATGTACTGCACAGTATATTCACTGTAATTCGAGGATAAAGAGAGTAGAGAGCCTGGTTCCTCTCTATGTTTCTTCCTAGGTTCCTGCCTTTCTAGGGAGTCTTTCCTAGCCACCTGTGCTTCTACATCTGCATTGCTTGCTGTTTGGGGTTTTAGGCTGGGTTTCTGTATAGCACTTTGTGACATCTGCTGATGTAAAAAGGGCTTTATAAATACATTTGATTGATTGATTGAGTAGCATGCATCGGTATGTAAGTTCTCATATCAGTAGGTGGTCTGGTGTTGACACCAGCTTGCAGACAGTTGGTCAGACTTGGCAGTTGACCTCTTCCTCTCTGGCATGGCTCCACTGACCTCCCAGCCACCCAGGGTGTGTGACACTTCCCATGACCCCGCTCTGTGACTTCCCATGTCATCCCACACCTAGAGCTGACCAGGGCGGAACTAACTAGCGTCCACTTACCGTAGCAACTCAGCTGCTACATAACTGACCTACAACACAGCCAGTCATACCACACAACACAGATGCAAAACAAGGAATTATCCTCTTATAGGGAGGCTTTTCTATGTACCTCTCTTGACCCCAGTTTTTCTGCCATGTTTGGTCACCTTGCCAACCCACCCCAGTGTGAAGGGGTTCGATCTAATGGGATAATAGAAGGAAAATACTGTCTTGTCTTCAGGGAGATCTGTCAACACTCTAAACAGGTCCCATACTGGTGCAGCACCTGCTCACTCACACTCAGCCACAAGCAACTGGTGGCAGGCATTTCCCAGGCCTCCATCCCACACTGCTTACCCTGACCAGGTCCAATGACCACATCCCCACATCCTGCCCCATGTCCCCAGTGTCTGCCCTGGGATCTCCCTCCTCGCTGTCCTGCCTGACCCTGGCTACCAGCTGGCCCTACTGTTGGTTATGAGGAGGGGAAGGGTACCATGTGTTCTTGCCCTACAGAAACCAGGGCCATATCTACATAACAAAGGACTGTAGTCACGAATCACCCATGGTTTGCCTCCTGTCAACCGATAGGTTATTGTCTTTCTAAGATATTCCATTGATCTCTTTCTCTCTCTCTCTCTCTGATTGACAGATGGGGAGCTCTACGCTGGGGTCTACATTGACTTCATGGGGACAGACGCGTCCATCTTCCGTACTCTAGGGAAACAGACCGCCATGAGGACAGATCAATACAACTCCAAATGGTTAAATGGTAATGTCTCACGTCTCATCATGACAGACGTCATCTCTCTATGGCATTTGTCTTTGTATTTCCATCATGTATCAATTGATACCTCAGTCTCTACATTCCTGTTCTGTCTCATAGCACCTCTGCATGACATACTGTATATATGGTCCAAGCCATCCCCACAGTGAAGCATGGTGGTGGCAGCATCATGCTGTGGGGGTGTTTTTCATCGGCAGGGACTTGGAAACTGGTCAGAATTGAAGGAATGATGGATGGCGCTAAATACAGGGAAATTCTTGAGGGAAACCTGTTTCAGTCTTCCAGAGATTTGAGACTGGGACGGAGGTTCACCTTCCAGCAGGACAGTGACCCTAAGTATACTGCTAAAGCAACACTCAAGTGGGAAACATTTAAATGTCTTAGAATGGCCTAGTCAAAGCCCAGACCTCAATCCAATTGAGAATCTGTGGTATGACAGCGGAACCCATCCAACTTGAAGGAGCTGGAGCAGTTTTGCCTTGAAGAATGGGCAAAAATTCCCAGTGGCTAGATGTGCCAAGCTTATAGAGACATACCCCAAGAGACTTGCAGCTGTAATTGCTGCAAAAGGTGGCTCTACAAAGTATTGACTTTGGGGGGTGAATAGTTATGCACGCTCAAGTTTTCTGTTTTTTTGTCTTATTTCTTGTTTGTTTCACCCAAAAAAATATTTTGCATCTTCAAAGTGTAGGCATGTTGTGTAAATCAAATGATGCAAACCCCCCAAAAATCCATTTAAATTCCAGGTTGTAAGGCAACAAAATAGGAAAAATGCCAAGGGAGGTGAATACTTTTGCATGCCACTGTATACCCCACCCCCAACATGGTCTACCCCCCATATGAGTCTATGTACCTCCCCACCCCCCACCCCCCACATGGTCTACCCCCCATATAAGTCACCATCCCGTAGCACTCACCACCAGGCCAAGAAGATCATCAGGGACCCCAGTCACCCGAGCCAACGCCTGTCCTCCCCGCTTCTCAGGCGCGGGCAGTACAGGAGCATCAGGGCAATAACTGGAAGACTGGCCAATAGCTTCTACCCCCAGACCATCAGGCTGTTCCCCCTGTCTCCCTCCTGCCCCCCAGACTTCCTACCCTTCCCCCACCCCCCAACGGACATGTATCATTGTTACAACGTAAATATGTATATATTATTATTTGTTATTACTGTTTCATTCACCTTTCACTTCCCCCCCTGTTGCTCCCCCTATAGACATTCCCCAACAGACTGTTGGAGCCCGGAGCATAAGATTTTCACTGTACCCTGCAGTTACAGCTGCATCCCTGTACATGTGACTAATAAACTAATCTAATCTCTAACCTAATCTATGTACTCACCCATCCCCCCCCCCCACATGGTCTGCCCCCATCTGGGTTGTGTCTGTAGCAGCAGGGAGGACAAGATCAGTTTGATGTGTCCAGCAGTGCCCTAATCAGTGAGCTATCATGAGAAGAGAGGTTGACGCCATATTGTGCTCATTCAGTGAGATTAATGAGAGAGATTTGGAATGTAGTGACATGTTGTCAGCTTCAGGCTTCAACTGACTCTCACTAGCATCTGTCTCATATTCAACTCTCTCTCCCGTTCTCTCTGTTTCTCGCTCTCTCTCACTCTCTCTCTCGCTCTCTCTCTCTCTTTCTTTCTTTCTCTCTCTTTCTTTCTCGCTTTCTCTCTCTTTCTCGCTCTCTCGCTCTCTCTTTCTCTCTCTTTTCAGATCCCACATTCATCAAGGCGCACCTCATCCCAGACAGTGCTGAGAAGAACGATGACAAGCTCTACTTCTTCTTCCGGGAGAAGGCTTCAGAGATGGGCCAGAGTCCCATGGCCCAGTCCAGGATAGGCAGGATCTGTCTGGTAAGTGGCCACCACAACCACATTATCTGCAAATGTTTTCTTACTGCAATTGTGAGGGTTTGTCTCATATTGTGACCTTTGAGCCTGTGAACCCAGTACCCTGCCACTACTGATACTGAGACATCCACAGAGTAGAGGGGTCTCCTTGGAAACTCCCCTTAAACCATCGCTGTATCTCACCATTCAACACAGTCAGACATAAAACAACACAGCCCTGCCCCCACTTCCTCAACAGCCAATGAGGAGTCTAAGAAAACCAAACTGAAGGGAATGCTTGTTGTCCCCTGTGATAAACTGTTGGAGTGGGAGAGTTTGCCTTTGGCCTCCAGTATATACACATAAACACACATACATATAACACTCTCAGGGTAATGTTGATCTAGTGATGTATGTATCCAGTGGCTGCAGTGACTCAGAATGTTGTTTATCCATAGAGGGGGTCAGAGGGTAACCCTGTGCTGTGTGCAAACCTTCCCCCTCTTGCTGCACGTCTCCTATGGGACCCTTGGGACGTTGGTCCTGTCTGTCTCTGGATCCTAAGCCACTGTCCTCAAATCAAATCAAATGTATTTATAAAGCCCTTTTTACATCAGCAAATGTCACAAAGTGCTTATACAGAAACCCAGCCTAAAACCCCAAACAGCAAGCAATGCAGATGTAGAAGCACGGTGGCTAGGAAAAACTGCCTAAAAAGGCAGGAACCTAGGAAGAAACCTAGAGAGGAACCAGGTTCTGAGGGGTGGCCAGTCCTCCTCTGGCTGTGCCGGGTGGAGATTATAAGAGTACATGGCCATTAAGGCCAGATTCTCCGATGACGGCCACTGGAAATAACACTACTGGTGTAGATCCACTGTACAGTGCATTTTCCACATTTTGTTACGTTCAGCTATTCTAAATATTAAATTGTTTTTTTCTTTATCTCCACATATCCATATGACAAACAAAACCGGTGAACATTTTAATATAAAATCTAAAACGGATATAATTATTAAGATTCGACCCTACATTTTAATTTATCATTAGCAGAATCTTATCCAGAGCGCTTCATAGTGATACATACATCTTTTTTTAAATAATGGCCCCCTGGGAACGAAAGCACAAAACAGGCATTTGCAAACAGCATGCTTTACATTGGCAATCCTCCGTCATTCCTCCCTACCTGGACGGCTGAGATATGCGCGCCCCATGGTTCCGGTCACGGATCTCAGGCCAGATCTCTAGTGGCAAGTAATTAAGTTCTAGACCACTGCCACTCGGAACACACGACCTGTACCAGTACTTTGTTGAAGCACCTTTGGCAGCGATTACAGCCTCGAGTCTTCTAGGGTATGACGATACAAGCTTGGCACACTTATATTTGGGGAGCTTCTCCAATTCTTCTCTGCAGATCCTCTCAAGCTCTGTCAGGTTGGATGGGGAGCGTCCCTGCACAGCTATCGGGTTCAAGTCCGGGCTCTGGCTGGGCCACTCAAGGACAATCAGAGACTTGTCCTGAAGCCACTCCTGCGTTGTCTTGGCTGTGTGCTTAGTGTCATTGTCCTGTTGGAAGGTGAACCTTCACCACAGTCTGAGGTCCTGAGCTTGGAGCAGGTTTTCATCAAGGTTCTCTCTGTACTTTGCTACAAAACAATGGAATATTCTAACCTTTGCATGATGTTCAGTAGTATATTACTCCAATATAAATTGTGGCATAAATACCATTCTCTGATTTTTCACTTGAACATTTCGTGTTGTACTTGTCTATCAGACCCCTGTTTTCTCTTTTCAATGAGTTTCGAAGACATTTCGTAATGTTTTGCAAGGATTTCTGGGCTGTGAATAATTTTCACTGGGCTTCACCTCCCTCCCCACCTCTCTGTAGGGGCAGGCGTCTGTCCACAACAGATGGGGCAGACAGACTGACCCACAGATCTGATGTTTTCACTCTCAGCTAGTGTTGGCTGCTAGTTGTCTGTATCTAACAGCTGTTGGTTTGAATCTGTGGACCAGCCCACTTGTGGTGTTTGTGTAGGGGTCAGGTGTGAGTGCCTTTTGTCCCCCCCCCCCCTGCAGAATGATGATGGTGGACACTGCTGTCTGGTCAACAAGTGGAGCACTTTCCTGAAGGCCAGACTCATCTGCTCTGTGCCTGGAGTGGACGGCATAGAGACCCACTTCGATGAGCTCCGTAAGTAGGCATCATTTTCCAACAGTGGTATAGCCTAGTTGTTATGTTCTTACACTAACTTCACAATTGTCCTCAAGTGTTGTCCTACTCCTCTGTTCCCTCAACTGTTAAACACTAAACATAGTCCGCTCCGCTCCACCTAAAAGAGACAGCATGTCAGATGACCAGCCATCAGTTGAGACCCCACTCTCTGTAATCTTTCTGTAGTATCTCTGTAACATCTGAGTTCTTTTGAACCGTTCCAAACTGCACTAACGCATATTACGCACTGCAGAAATAAAAAAAATGTAAACATAGATTTAAGATGTCTTTAGTATATAAATGGTCTAGCCTATACTCCAAAACTCAAGTAATCGCCTTTGAGTGTGGACTGTATTATTATACATACTGGATGGACTGGTTACCGTATGCTATGCTCCAAACTTTCTATCCATGAGTCTGGGAGAGAACGTATATGCCTAGGCAATGCTGTTGGTTTATTGATTGTGCAGGGCGGCTTACAGAGTAGGCTAGTTAGCCTACAACTATAGTAATTTGTATTTGATTTTGAATAGCCTAGTAATAGGGAATGTATTATATTTTCATAATTAATAGGCTGACACATTACCTTTAGCTACAAAATATCTCAACACCATGTGTTTCCATCTCTTCCTCTCTCCCCTTCATTCCTTTCTCAAGCACGCAGAGAGAGGGGCTGTCAACAGTTTAATTAAATATGTTTTGTTGTGAAAACATGTTACTATCGATGTTTCTGAACAGATTTCACCTGGTTTTCCAAATGAAGCACTGGGTAGCTGCAGGAACAGGGTTGGAGGGCCCATGGCATACAGAGTTTGAGCGGAATATCAACGGTCTTGCAGCTAGAGGCTGCCCCTCAAACAGTGGTTGATGCGTGGAGTGAAATAAATGTTCTTATAAGCCCAGACATTTCTATATGCAATCCCATGTGAAAGCAGAGTTTTGATGGTTGCAACTAAAAAGAGGAGGATCCCAGCTTTCTACTGCTACTATATTTATTTCTCAGCTGCTAATATTAAGCACATTGCTCTGCTGTAAAACCGGAGTAGCCTACCTGACATGATTGAAAAAGGAACCGCAGGAAAGCGCAGCCTCCATTTGCTATTCGAGGCACCTGTTCCTACCTATTTGATAATGGCCCATTTTAAATCAAAACTAATTTCAAATATTAGTAAAGACGAGATTCAGTTGAGAATAGTCTGATGGATGAGAATGTTATCACTTAATGAGAAAACAGTGTGTGCAGCCTGAGGCAAGGAACAGAGCGAAAATATATTTTATTAGACTTTTTCAAATCATCAATATAGTTGCATTATACAGCCCATATATGTTGTGATTTCTAAGACATGCTAAGGTTTGTATCATTTGCAGCTAAATTAGTCAAATTACTCTAAATATAGCCTATAGGACCTGTTTCAAATGATCACTTTTACACTCAACATAGCCACTTCATATGCGCACTTGCACAGGAATGGGAAAAATATCCTTTCTATTTTATTCGAAGAAGTTAAATTACACTGAACAAAAATATAAACGCAACATGCAACAATTTCAAAGATTTTACAGTTCATATAAGGAAATCAGTCAACTTAAATAAATTCATATAAAAAGATATGTACAGTTGAAGTCGGAAGTTTACATACACCTTAGCCAAATACATTTAAACTCAGTTTCTCACAATTCCTGACATTTAATCCTAGTAAAAATTCCCTGTCTTAGGTCAGTTAGGATCACCACTTTATTTTAAGAATGTGAAATGTCAGAATAATAGTAGAAAGAATGATTTATTTCAGCTTTCATCACATTCCCAGTGGGTCAGAAGTTTACATACACTCAATAAGGATTTGGTAGCATTGCCTTTAAATTGTTTAACTTGGGTCAAACGTTTTGGGTAGCCTTCCACAAGCTTCCCAAAATAAGTTGGGTGAGTTTTGGCCCATTTCTCTTGACAGAGCTGGTGTAACTGAGTTAGGTTTGAAGGCCTCCTTGCTCGCACACACTTTTTAAGTTCTTCCCACAAATGTTCTATAGGATTGAGGTCAGGGCTTTGTGACGGCCACTCCAATACCTTGACTTTGTTGTCCTTAAGTCATTTTGCCACAACTTTGGAAGTATGCTTGGGGTCATTGTCCATTTGGAAGACCCATTTGCGACCAAGCTTTAACTTCCTGACTGATGTCTTGAGATGTTGCTTCAATATATCCACATAATTTTCCTTCCTCATGATGCCATCTATTTTGTGAAGTGGACCAGTCCCTCCTGCAGCAAAGCACCCCCACAGCATGATGCTGCCACCCCCGTGCTTCACGGTTGGGATGGTGTTCTTCGGCTTGCAAGCATCCCCCTTTTTCCTCCAAACATAACGATGGTCATTATGGCCAAACAGTTCTAATTTTGTTTCATCCAGACCAGAGGACATTTCTCCAAAAAAGTACGATATTTGTCCCCATGTGCAGTTGCAAACCATGGTCTGGCTTTTTTATGGCGGTTTTGGAGCAGTGGCTTCTTCCTTGCTGAGCGGCCATTTAGGTTATGTCGATATAGGACTAGTTTTACTGTGGATATAGATACTTTTGTACCTGTTTCCTCCAGCATCTTCACAAGGTCCTTTGCTGTTGTTCTGGGATTGATTTGCACTTTTCGCACCAAAGTACGTTCATCTCTAGGAGACAGAACGCATATCCTTCCTGAGCGGTATGACGTCTGCGTGGTCCCATGGTGTTTATACTTGCGTACTATTGTTTGTACAGATGAACGTGGTCCCTTCAGGCGTTTGGAAATTGCTCCCAAGGATAAACCAGACTTGTGGAGGTCTACAATTATTTTTCTGAGGTCTTGGCTGATTTCTTTTGATTTTCCCATGATGTCAAGCAAAGAGGCACTGAGTTTGAAGGTAGGCCTTGAAATACATCCACAGGTACACCTCCAATTGACTCAAATATGTCAATTAGCCTATCAGAAGCTTCTAAAGCCATAACATCGTTTTCTGGAATTTTCCAAGCTGTTTAAAGGCACAGTCAACTTAATGTATGTAAACTTCTGACCCACTGGAATTGTGATACAATTAATTATAAGTGAAATAATCTGTCTGTAAACAATTGTTGGAAAGATTTCTTGTGTCATGCACAAAGTAGATGTCCTAACCGACTAGCCAAAACTATAGTTTGTTAACAAGAAATGTGTGGTGTTTAAAAAATGAGTTTTAATGACTCCAACCTAAGTGTATGTAAACTTCCGACTTCAACTGTATGTATATATATGTGTGTGTGTGTATATATATACAGTGGGGAGAACAAGTATTTGATATACTGCCGATTTTGCAGGTTTTCCTACTTACAAAGCATGTAGAGGTCTATAATTTTTATCATAGGTACACTTCAACTGTGAGAGATGGAATCTAAAAAAAAATCCAGAAAATCACATTGTATGATTTTTAAGTAATTAATTTGCATTTTATTGCATGACATAAGTATTTGATCACCTACCAACCAGTAAGAATTCCAGCTCTCACAGACCTGTTAGTTTTTCTTTAAGAAGCCCTCCTGTTCTCCAATCATTACCTGTATTAACTGCACCTGTTTGAACTCGTTACCTGTATAAAAGACACCTATCCACACACTCAATCAAACAGACTCCAACCTCTCCACAATGGCCAAGACCAGAGAGCTGTGTAAGGACATCAGGGAAAAAATTGTAGACCTGCACAAGGCTGGGATGGGCTACAGGACAATAGGCAAGCAGCTTGGTGAGAAGGCAACAACTGTTGACGCAATTATTAGAAAATGGAAGAAGTTCAAGATGACGGTCAATCACCCTCGGTCTGGGGCTCCATTTAAGATCTCACCTCGTGGGGCATCAATGATCATGAGGAAGGTGAGGGATCAGCCCAGAACTACACGGCAGGACCTGGTCAATGACCTGAAGAGAGCTGGGACCACAGTCTCAAAGAAAACCATTAGTAACACACTACGCCGTCATGGATTAAAATCCTGCAGTGCACGCAAGGTTCCCCTGCTCAAGACAGCGCATGTCCAGGCCCATCTGAAGTTTGCCAATGACCATCTGGATGATCCAGAGGAGGAATGGGAGAAGGACATGTGGTCTGATGAGACAAAAATAGAGCTTTTTGGTCTAAACTCCACTCGCCGTGTTTGGAGGAAGAAGAAGGATGAGTATAACCCCAAGAACACCATCCCAACCGTGAAGAATGGAGGTGGAAACATTAATCTTTGGGGATGCTTTTCTGCAAAGGGGACAGGACAACTGCACCGTATTGAGGGGAGGATGGAGGGGGCATGTATTGCGAGATCTTGGCCAACAACCTCCTTACCTCAGTAAGAGCATTGAAGATGGGTCGTGGCTGGGTCTTCCAGCATGACAACGACCCGAAACACACAGCCAGGGCAACTAAGGAGTGGCTCCGTAAGAAGCATCTCAATGTCCTGGAGTGGTCTAGCCAGTCTCCAGACCTGAACCCAATAGAAAATATTTGGAGGGAGCTGAAAGTCCGTATTGCCCAGCGACAGCCCCGAAACCTGAAGGATCTGGAGAAGGTCTGTATGGAGGAGTGGGCCAAAATCCCTTGCTGCAGTGTGTGCAAACCTGGTCAAGACCTACTGGAAATGTATGATCTCTGTAATTGCAAACAAAGGTTTCTGTACCAAATATTAAGTTATGCTTGTCTGATGTATCAAATACTTATGTCATGCAATAAAATGCAAACTAATTACTTAAAAATCATACAATGTGATTTTCTGGATTTTGGTCACAGATACCTTAAAAAAATGTAGGGGGGTGGATCAGAAAACCAGTCAGTATCTGGTGTGACCACCTTTTGCCTCATGCAGCGCGACACATCTCCTTTGCATAGAGTTGATCAGGCAGTTGATTTTGGACTGTGAATGTTGTCCCACTCCTCTTCAATGGCTGTGCGAAGTTGCTGGATATTGGTGGGAACTGGAACATGCTGTCGTACACGTCG